TTGGTGCAGCATTTTAAGTGTAGACCTGCCCTAACTCAGTGTCTCACAGCTAAATACAAGGTGGAACAAAATGTTAAACATAAGTAGTTAACACACATTTCAAGGGACCATTCAAGGTGAAGTGGCCCGTTAATACCCCTCCAGTTACAGAGAGGAAAGGAAGGGTGGGGGGAAAGCAGCTGTGTGTGTGTGGGCGGGAGGTTGGTAGTGGTTTATAGATGATAGTAACAAGCCATAAATCCATTGTCTCTATTCAGTCCATGATTTTTAGTGACTAACAAAGGCTACGGCTACACTTGCAGATGTAGAGCACTGGGAGTTAAACCAGCCCTCGGAGACAGTACCAGGGAAAGCGCTGCCTTGTCTTTACACTGTCAGCTGCAAGCGCAGTGGCGTGGCCACAAGAGCAGCTCTTGCAACGCCACAGAGAGCAGTACATTGTGGTAGCTATCCCAGCGTGCAAGTGGCTGCAGCGTGCAGCAAGTGGCTGCAGCGTGCTTTTCAAATGGGTGGGGTGGAGTGTGACAGGGAGTGTGTTGTGTGTATGTGGGGGGAGAGATGGTGTGTTTTGGGGGGCAGAGAGTGTGTCAACATGCTGTCTTGTAAGTTCAGACAGCGGCAGGGGTAAGGGGGAAACCCGACATCAGCCCCCACCCCCCGCCTCTCTCTCTCTCTCTCTCTCTCTCTCTCTCACACACACACGCACAAACGCCTGCCTCTGCAGCAGGAGCATTCCACAGTAATGGTTTGCTTTGTGTCCCGGAGCAGATAAGCATGCAGGGGATATCCACATGCCTGCAGCCGAGTTCAAAACAATGACGAGAGTGGCCACTTGACTTCAAGGGATTCTGGGACATTCTGGAGGCCAATCACAGCGCAGTAATGTAACGCGTCGTCCACACTGACACCCCGGCATTTCAGCCAGGGTGCAGAAAGCTCTATGCTTCTTGTGGAGGTGGATTACAAGGGGCGCTCCAGCCGCTGAGTCCAGGCGCTCTACATGCCTTACCAGTCTGGACACCTCAGGAGTAAGGGCGCCCGGGGCTGATTTAATGCGCTCTAACTTGCAAGTGTAGCCAAGGCCAAAGTTATGAATTTAAGTTCCCAGGCTCGCCTTTTGAAAGTGTTGTGCAGGTTTCCTTTGATAATGAGGACTGAGAGGTTAGATGTAGAGTGATCGCTTTCTGAAAAGTGTTCACCCACAGGTGATATGGTGTTTTTGTATTTTATCATTTTCCTGTGTGTGCTCATTCAAGAGTACAGTGATTATCTGGTTTCACCCATATAGTTGCTATTGGGGCATTTAGTGCATTGGAGGAGGTACACCACATGTTGTGATAGGCATGTGTATGACCGATAAATCTTGAAAGTGTGTTATGGGGGGAGTTGATCATTGTAGCAGTGTAGATATGTCTGCAGGTTTTGCATCTGTTGTTTTGGCAGGGTCTGGTGCTGCTTTGAGTTGGTGTGTCCTGGTCTGCAGGGAGCTTGCTTCTTATGGTGAGCTTGGAGCGGTGCAAGGGTTGTTTGAATACCAGACATCAGGAAAGATTTATTTCAGGATGGGGAACCTATCCAGTATGGCTTGTAGTGTTTGATGATACCCCTAGTTGTTACCTACCACCCCAGATGGGAACCCATACTGGATATCATGGGCAATACTTCCCCACTCATAAGCACCGAGTGTATGTATAACAAAATAGAACTTTTATTAAGGGGAGTGGGAACTCAGAATTAATTTGGGAAAAGACAGCAATAACAACTCAGAAGTATGCAGACAGTAGGTAATACACCGGCACCACTGTATATTGGGCAGTAAGCCTTTGCCTCAGTTTTCCACCTTGCGTTGTGAAAGTCCAATAGATGAATGTCCCTTTAACATGCCACTCCCCTTTCCCTCCGCTGCATCCCACTCACAGTTGCTTGTCTGAGGTCAGGACACAGTCACAGGGCTGCGTTCAGGTGGGTTTACCTCCAGCTTGGGGTAGGTGTGGGTGAGTGATACTTCTGCTGTGCTGCTACCACCTCTGCTGCTTCTCAATGTTATCTCCATTGCCTATGCTTGCAGCTGCCTCTGTCTGATGCTGCTCACCCCTGTAGTTGCTGCCTCTGCTGCATCCTTGGTCTGGTCCAGTCCTTCTGGTCCTTCAGTGCCACGACCTCTTTGTCTAGCTATTAGTAATCACAGTTCTAGAATTTGCTGGGGAGGGGGCACTTTTGCTGCTGCTGCTTCTCTTACCACTCTGCCTTTAGCAGCAATGCCATGTTCTGAGGGTCCACCAACCCAACTAGCCCAGTTCTAGTGATTTCACCGAGTAGTGGGGAACCTCAGTGCCGTTGCCTCCTCTGTGTTGTCTTTCATGCGAACACTGTCCCCACATCAGGTCTGAGGCCTGGTCTACACTAAAAAGTTAGGTCAACCCAGCTCCGTCACTCAGAAGTCTGAAAAATCTACACCCCTGAACAGTGTAGTTAAGCCGACCTAACCCCTGATGTAGACAGTGCTAGGTCAATGGAAGAATTCTTTTGTCACCTAGCTGACACCTCTCGGGGAGTCGGATTAACTATGCTGACAGGAGAACCCTTTCCATTGGCATAGGTAGCGTCTATGCTGAAGCACTACAGCAGCGTAGCTGCAGCTGTGCTGCTGTAGCATTTCAGATGTAGAGAGACCCTAACACTCCGCCTCCTAGACTAGCTCATCAGTGATTTCAGCTCTACTGGCCACTGGGAGAGACAATGACTCTCAACTGAATCTAATCAGCTCAGTCTTTAAACACTGGAGAGGGAGGGTCTAATGGTACCTAGCACCCTTAAGTAGAGTCCTCCGCACTAGATGGGAACCCTCTCTGTCTTTCACTTGGATGTGATTCACTACTTGTGTTACTAGTCAGCTTTCATATTGACCCCAGAGAGCACACTTCCGAGCAGAAAAGGACACAGACCAACACTGGTTTAGTGCAGAATTGTTCTTGCATGCCTTTGCTTTCTTTAAAGAAGCTTATGCATCTAGCTATACCATGAAACATCATGTAAACCATTGTATGTTGCAAAAACGTATTGTATCCATACAATGAATAGTCAGAAGATCCAGATGTGTTATAGTCATGGGAACACATCTGGCTACGTTTTGGCTGACCCAGTGCAGGTTTTCGGGAAAGAAGAGAGTGTGAAGAGTCCCATCTGTGTCCTGTTCCCGTGCAGAACACAGACTGAATGTCTTGTGTCTCCATAGTCTTGTAGCTTGTAGTCTCTGAACACAAGTGATTTGAGGTACAACCAGAGGCACTCACCCCAAAGTAGGTGTGACCAGGTGAATTGGAGGTCTGGTCCAAGCATGTCCCAGTAATGCTTGGAGGCTGGTGCTGGGGCAAAGCACAGTAGACTGTGAGCTCTTTGGGGTAGGGACCATCTTTTTTGTTCTGTGTTTGTACAATGTCTAGCATAATGGGGTCCTAGATCATGACTGGGGCGCTCTCTAGTACTACTACTTATCTATTAATAATATGCCTTTCTAGGACCTTACGACCACCACAAAGACATTCCACTGCGCCCTGTGCTGGCAGAGTGCCTCCAGTCATCACCACCTGGGTATCTCACAACTCCCCCACAGATCATTTCCCTGCTAAGGCAGCTCTGGCTTTCAAAGCTAGAAGTCAGTCAGGAGAAGCTGCCATGATTTAAATTGTTAACAACACTAAAGAGAAAGGGGGAAAAAACTTCCCTAAGGCTGGGTCTACACTACAGCCGGGGTCCGACCTAAGATACGCAACTTCAGCTACGTGAATACCGTAGCTGAAGTTGCGTATTTTAGGTCGGCTTACCTGGCGGTGAGGACGCGGGAAAGTCGACCGCTGCCGCCGACTCCGCTGCCGCCTCTTGCCGAGGTGGATTTCCGGAGTCGACGGCAGAGCGATCAGGGATCAATTTTACCGTGTCTTCACTAGACACGGTAAGTCGATCCTCGATAGACCGATTGCTACCCGCCGGATCGGCGGGTAGTGAAGACATAGCCTGAGTGAGTAAGAAGCAAAGATCACAAAGCTATAGCTGCAGCGCAGAGCTCCTCACCCATCAATCAGACAGGTTACACTGACAGCTGATTGTAGTGGTGTTGCAGCCATGTTGGTCCCAGGATATTAGAGAGACAAGTTAGGCGAGGTAATATCTTGGGCCAGCTTCCGTTGGTGAGAGAGACAAGCTTTCGAGCTACACAGAGCTCTTCAATGTAGCTCGAAAGCAAGAGCTCTGTGTAGCTTGAAAGTCTGACTCTGACTCTTTCAGCAACAGAAGTTGGTCCAATAAAAGATATTACCTGACTCGCCTTGTTTCTAATTGACAGCTAAGGTAGTTAGCGGCTATTATGCCCCACTGGAGTATAGGTGCCGCCTGCTGGTGAAGCAGTTCCACTGCTCAGAACATAAGAACAGCCATACTGGGTCAGACCAAAGGTCCATCTAGCCCAGGTATCCTGTCTTCTGACAGTGGCCAATGCCAGGTGCCAAGGCGGGAATGAACAGAACAGGTAATCATCAAGAGATCCATCCCCTGTTCTAGCTGGGGATCTTTCCCAGCCTGTTCATCCACAGGACAGACCACATGCCCCAGAAGGACTGGATCCAATTTACCATCCTGATAAGAATTGAGCATATATGTTACAGGGAGAATATGCCCTTTATTTTATACTAAGAACTGCTGTAATTAGAGATGGCCTTGAAACAAAATGGCAGACCTCAAAATCTCTTGAATGTTGGGAGGGTTCATACCCAGATCCAAACTTTGCAGCTGGCCTCTATCCCTATGATGGGCACAATCAATACCTGGCATCCAAACACTCCTGACTTTTTGGTAAAGTTTGGATCCATTTGATTTTAATCCAATCTGTAGAGCTCTGACTTCTCTGTAAGTATTACAATGAAACATTTAAAATGTAAAGTGATCCTGAAGCGCAATGAAAATATCTCCATGTAAAATGAAATCAATGCCCTTTAACATTCCAGATACCTTCAGCTTTTTCAAACAACAAGAGCATCGGAGGGTTAGGTGGGAAGGAAATCACAGGGCAGCCAAAACAATTTCTCGGCGTTCTGTCAGCAAGGAACGATGGGTGGAGACGCTGGTTGTTGCAGACAGTAAGATGATTGAATATCATGGAAGTGACAATGTGGAATCCTACATCCTCACTATAATAAATATGGTAGGTGATATACTTAACTATTTCTCAGTTAGATAAATTATATAAATATAAGCAAACTTGATTACATTGTTAATCACCATGAAAACAGTCATAACGGTCTGTCATTTAAAGAAGTGGAATAATTTTTGTATGTGTTCATCTAAAGTCTTCTCTATTATTTCATGCAGGACGGGCTTTTCCTCTATAGCTTTTAAGTCAGGGTGATTTCTGGCCACAGTGCTGAATCACGACATCCATATGACATATGTGCACTACACAGGAACTATCATTTCACTGAAATTATCAGTTCTGAATGTCATGCACCTTCTCAATCTACTGATTGTTGATGTTCCTAGGCAGCAGTATTAACATAAAGTGACAGAGCAGTTAGATGCAGTAGAACACGAGAGCTTTAGACTATCAATGGTATGGATTCCTTTCCCCATCTGTGTATGAGCAGGGAGGAAAATTTTCAGGGATTCCCCTATTCAGTTAGACATAATTCCCTTATTTAAAAAATAAAAATCTTGGTGTGTCCCAGTGCTTGCTTATCAATTTCTTAGATATTTGGTCTGATTCTGATCTCATGTACACTGGTGAACCTCTGTTAAGAGAAATGGAGTTACTCCTGATTTACACTGCTGATATTGTGAAAGTGGTGTAGTGTAGAGATTTGTGCAGTTTTACTAGCTTTTATTAAGACTCAATCAAAACAATTATCATGTGGGTTTTACGCTCAGAGGAAATGGTTCAATCGGTTGTATTATAGAGGCTTTTATTACTGGGGTTGATTTTTCAAATATGTTTTCCTCCTCTGTCATTTCTGTTTTTAAAGTGGACAATTAATTTTTTCAGACAAATTGTGCTTTTCCCCACATATAATGAAATCTAAATTAAAAATGTAAAATGTGTCTCAGTTCAAATAAATCCCCAAATGAGCAAATTTCAAAATGTAATTTGACTTAAGAAAAGTTATAATGTCTTGTGATATTTGTCACGCTGTCTGAAATAGCTCACAACCATGAATGCCAATCTTGGGGCAGACTGTCAAGAAGCAGGGCAAAAGCCCCAAACTGGTGGTATGTTCTATAATTAGATTTCACCAACCCACTAATGAGTGTGAACTCCTCCAACACCGTAACAGTTATACCATGGAGTCACAGACAGTCCCCTTGGCACTCCAGTCTATCTTGCCACCTAGGCAAGCTGGACTATGTAATGGATGGGCATTTTATACCAAAAATCAAAACAATATTCAGGTTATTCCCAGTCCCAAAGGACCAGTCACTTACCCTGTGTCATTTATACTCAGATCTCAAACGAAAGACAAAGCCTGTAGCCAATCCTGTAATAAAGTAACTAAATATTTATTAACTAAGAAAAGAAATGAGTTATTCACAAGGTTAAAACAGGAAACAACACATGCAAATGAATTAGTCTTAGATTTAAAAAGGTAAAATAAGCTTCCATAATAACCAACTCTACATGTCCTTTAGGGCTGACCCATGCCAAGTCTCTTGCTTATGTTTAGGAATCTCTACCCCTCAGAGTCCAGACAGTATAAAGATTCCAGTTCCTCCTTGACAGGGGTTTTTCTCCCCTTCACCTCCGAATCCAAGCTGATGGGACGAGTTCATCCGCATGCCTCCCCTTCATGGAGGGACTAAGGAATGCGATCAACAAAGTTTCTGCCCTTGGATGTCACACAATGCCTCATTTGCCTTCAAAGGGCCATTTTGTGCGCAGGATGAGCACTTTATCTTAATCAATGCTTCTTTTCCTGTTTGGTGAGTTACACAATGACAGAGGTTTACAGTGCAAACACTCAATGTAACTTTATGCCATGGGATACAGACATTGTAAGTAAAATTACTACATGCAGCATCCTACAAGCATTTCACAAAGTCTGGACACTAAACTCATTCTTATATCACTAATATCTGTTTTAACTATACTAACTCATAGGTAAGCCAAGCTGGTTTTCACCAATGTATTTGTCAGTGTTCAGAGATGCCTGGGGCCTTGGCATAAGCTGGCACCTGGTCTGCCAGCATTACAATATCATCTTTGGATCTTTAGGCATTGACCTTATGTAGTCATTTGAGATTATCTTCTCCCTCCTTCTCCACTCACTCAATGCATAAACGAAACCACAGCTATCAGACTCCCAGATCCATCCCCCTCAATGTATTAATTTGACCCCCTGACTGATTCATTGTCTGCTGCATCTAAGTTAGGGTTACCATATCTATTAAATAAAAAAAGAGGACCCTCCACGGGCCCTGGCCCCGCCCATTTCCCCACCCCCAGCCCCGCCCCAACTCCGCCACTTCCCCACCCTAACTACGCCCCCTCCTCCCTCCCACTCCCAGCCACGGGGAAAGGGCTGCCCGAGCGCTACCGGCTTCACGGTTTGCCGGGCAGCCCCCAGACCCTGCGCCCCCGGCTGGCGCTTCCCCAGTGCAGCTGGAGCCCGGGAGGGGAAGCGCCCAGCCAGGGGCGCAGGGTCTGGGGGCTGCCCGGCAAACC